TCACTAAGTTGCTACACCCATATATTTACTATTTTAAGGTTGTTATCTTGAGGTGTTTGCATATTATTGTTGTTATTTTGAGTCATGTTGTTGTTTTTTCTCACCGTACTGATTTGAATATTGTCAAAACCTGTTTGTATTATTTGGCTGTTGTTGTTGTTAATTAATAATAATATTATCATATTTTTTAATAGAAGTAAGCTAGATTGTCTACTTTTTGTATTAGAAAGACTGTATCCTATTGGGTTTTAGAATCTGTAACAGGTCGCACCAGCTTGTACTGGGAGGTAGTAGAACATTTAGTGTGACATATAAGTTATACAAAACCTGAGTGAAGCTACCAAATAAATCTAGCAGATTGACAGAATACAGAAGCCCACTTGGCAAATCCTGAGTAGAGAGATAGCACAGATCTTTGACAGTATTATATAAAGGATTACTATCCAGAAGTAACGAGAACCGAATGGGACTGAAGTGTTTGGCAAAGCACTCTATTGGAGGAGACCAAAGGAAAAAGACCCAACCATGGGGACCAAGGGCAGGTCACAGCTCTTCTGGGCTATCTGGATTGTAAGTTCAGGTGACAGGAGTACAGATAATAGTCCGTAAAGTGGGTACTGGGGTTTGAGTAAACTTTGCAAGGACAAGGAGTAGGTAACGATAGTGGCTTCGGCTCACAAGTACTTGGTCTTGGCCTAGACGTAAGTTACCAAAAACTAGGTGATACATGTGTGAAACATGGACTGCTCTAATAGGTTTACCACAAGGTCAAAAAACCCCCTATATGGAAGTGTGTGTCTGCTTTAAAGACTTAGCAGGCCTTAACGGCAGGTTCCTCTTAAGAAAAAATATCTGATGGCATGAAGTTAATCAGAGAGTTTAAATAGGTAATCTCATAGTTGAGTTACAGGTATGGCATCTAGTATAGATCTAGAATAGGCAGACTACTTAAATAGGTGCTCAAAAGGTGCAGATATAGCTAGAATGTACTCTCATTAATGTAACAAGATTAGGTACTGTCCATGTGACTATGCTGATATCAAACCAAAAGTTTAATAAACTATGTCAGATCTGTGAGTGGTCACCTTAACATTTAAAAAAAAAAAAAAATTAGTAAATATACTAGCAACACCTGATTTTAATACAATATAGAACCCACAAAACAAAATAGAAACTGACTCAGTCTCAACAATCTTAGCAAACTATGATACTTCAAATATACTTATTTATAGCCAAGCTACAAAACAAAATCTTATTAGAAATCAAATACAGCTCGATGAAGATCTTACTCAAAAATAGCTAAAATATATATACACAGAACTTAGCAAAAAAATCTTACAACCATATGACAATACTATATAGCATTACGATAAATTAATTAATAACTAGTATGTAATCCGTCACTTGCACTGATGGTATACAAACTATACTAATACAACCATTTTAAAATTTAAAAGTAACCCTAAGCCAATACAAAGTTGTTAATCGTATAATAATACAAATAAGATAGAGAGGCCACTGATTAAACATTATTACATGACTTCACAATCATACTTGTCGACGAAGTCATGTGATTAATTTTTAATAAAAGCCATTCTACAACTTTATAAATAAATATTAATATTGCATTTGTGTTCACTTCATTATAAAAATAATGCAAATTGGGTAACAGGTTGAGATAACTATTAATATTCAATGGGATAATGTACCCATGTAACTTTTTGTGTAAACCAACCAACCAGAATTGCAAAATTTGTTTAACTGATCAGCACGAAGTCAAAAAATAACGAAAATACAAAAAGTGAAAAACGGAGGTTTTGGGGCATTAATTAAAATGTCAGAAAGATAATTTTACCTATATCTTTCTTATATCAACACCAAACTAACTCTAATCCTAAATTTAGTTTTATTTAAAGCGATTAAAGTCAAAATCACGTAGTACATGGCTTTAGCCATCCTCTATTCAATGCCAATTTTGATTAACAATTAATTTGTTAGGATCAAAAGCTTTACGCATTAAATAATATATACGTATCAAAGTTTCGAATAAGTTTCAATGAATCATATAAAATAACCAACATGATTTTTAACAATTATTGAGACTTTATTGAAAGACCTCAAGGAATACAATATTAAACGTACGTTCAGTCTGTCTAGAATTATCTTCATCACGGTTAATGGCAAGAATTTTCAAATTCCTTCGTGAAGTGACTCTTGAGCAGGCCACATATAATTGGTCATGAGTGAAAACTGGTGCTGAAAGATATAAACCTACAACGTTTAATGTTTGTCCTTGAGATTTGTTAATTGTCATCGCAAAGGCCGATCGTATTGGAAATTGATGACGCTTGAATGCAAATGGTAAATCCAAGTCTGAAGGTAACATAGTAACGTGAGGAAGAAAAACACGGTTTCCAGAGTGCTTTCCAGTAATAATTTCTGCTTCAATTACATGTTTCTTAAAATTGCGACAAACTAATCTTGTTCTGTTACAGAGTCCATCAGGAGGATGAATATTTCGTAGTAATATGATCGGTGCACCTAACTTCAAAATTAATTTATGAGAGGGGAGGCCTCCAACATTCAAAGAATTAAGAAACTCGATTGGATACTGATAGTCCGTTTCGATCTGTTCTATAATCGCATTTGCACTGAGATACTCTACTGCTTCTCCAGAGAATTGTCTCATAACAATCGAATTGATAGTATTAACATCATTATTCTTAGGTGTAAGAATCGAACGTTCAACTAAATATTAATGATTCGCTTGCATAGAAAGATTAGGGTATACATAATGAATCATATCATTTAACTCTTGAGATGGTAAGACAATATCTTCAGATAGTTGAATAGTATTTGTCATTGAGTTAGTGACGAAAGGTACACGCCCTTCTTCAACTTTAAGTAACTATTGAGCAAAATCATCTTGCTCAGCAAAATCAGAGGCACTCATGACATGACGAAGACGCATGTTAATCGTTAAGTTTCTAACTTTCACATGTTTCCAGAGAGCTGACTGTCGTATACAGACTCTTACAATGTCTGCTCTTCCTCCCTTATTTACCACTAGAAGAATTTGCCAGAAGTCACCCTCTAACAGCACAACTTTACCTCTGAATGGTTTGTTTTCTAGGGTTTGGTCTATGGCTTTCATAAGATCTCGTAAAGTTCGATCCACGGCTTCGAATACATGTCGTTTCATTATTGGCGCTTCGTCTCAGACAATAAGAGATGCTTTTTGTAGAAGTACCGCTAACTCTGAACCATGAGATATTGCACAGGTAGAATCTTCATGTATATTAATAGGAATCTTGAAACGGGAATGCGCTGTTCAACCACCTGGTAAAAGTAAAGCCGCAATGCCCGATGATGCAACCGCAAGTGCAATATGTTGACTCAACCGAATTTGTGCAAGTAAAATACTACATAATTTTAGACAAAAAAAAATTTTAAACAAAAAAAAATTTGATTTAAAAAAAAAAAATTTCTTACTTGTATAAAAAAGTTTTTCCCTATCCATCTGGACCATCAACAAAAATAATAGTTAAAGTATGAGTTTCAACCGCTTTTACAACGTCATCAAAAATAGCTCGCTGATCTGCATTTAACTGAGGAAGTCCATCATTAACTGTTCGAGTAAGTTCTTCAATATCATAATTTAGTTCTTCCCTTATTAAACTGTTGTCTAACTTGTAATTCGAAAGCATAGATGGGATGGGCATATTCGGAAAATCTTTAAGAAACCGTCTATGTTTGCTTAAGATAGATTGTAGATGATTGAGGGCTTGATTAAAAATATCATTTTCAGTTAAGTTGATAAACATATTTCCAGTAGTATTACGAAATTGATATTATATATCATTACTCAGTGCAAGAATATGCTTATTTCAAAGTAACTCCGGTCTTGTTGGTTCGCAAAACAAAAGAAGTGTGGCGAATAAATTACGCAATTGTGCACCCGATTGTACACATGCAGCTTCGGTTAGACAGTTATCCCATTCTTTGTCATTCTGCAACAGACCTAATGCAATGCAAGTTTCCT